TTGTCGTAGTGATCCAGTAGTTGAGACAGACAGGAGCGACCTGTTCTAAACCCATGTTGCCCTGGGTTGTGTAACTGATGCGTTTCTAGATGGGTGGTGATCTTGCTTCTTAGGACCCTTTCAAAGATTTTTATGATATGGGATGTTAGTGCTATTGGTCTGTAGTTCTTTGCTGTTGCTTTACTGCCCCCTTTGTGGAGTGGGGCTATGTCTGTTGTTTTTAGTAACTGAGGGACGACCCCCCGTGTCCATGCTCCCTCTCCATAGGATGGAAAAGGTTCGTGATAGGGGCTTCTTGCAGTTCTTGACGAACACAGAGTTCCATGAGTCTGGCCCTGGGGCAGAGTGCATGGGCATGTCATTTATCGCCTGTTCGAAGTCATTTGGCGTCAGGATAACATCGGATAGGCTTGTGTTAATCAAATTTTGTGGCTCTCTCATAAAAAATTAATTTTGATCTTCGACTCTCAGTCTGGTTAGCGGCTTGCTAAAAACTGAGTCATATTGGGACTTGAGTAGCTCACTCATTTCCTTGCTGTCATCTGTGTAGGACCCATCTTGTTTAAGTAGGGGCCCAACTACAATAATAAAACATCACCCACTGCAATAATAAAACATCACCCACTACAATAATAAAACATCACCCACTACAATAAAACATCACCCACTACAATAAGACATCACCAACTACAATAATAAAACATCACCCACCACAATAATAAAACATCACCCACCACAATAATAAAACATCACCCACTGCAATAATAAAACATTGCCCACTACAATAATAAAACATTACCCACTACAATAATAAAACATCACCCACTACAATAATAAAAGATTACCCACTACAATAATAAAACATCACCCACTACAATAATAAAACATCACCCACTACAACTAAAACATCACCCACTACAATAATAAAACATCACCCCCTACAATAATAAAACATCACCCACTACAATAAAACATCACCCACTACAATAAAACATTACCAACTACAATAATAAAACATCACCCACTACAATAAAACATCACCAACTACAGTAATAAAACATCACCCACTACAACTAAAACATCACCCACTACAATAATAAAACATCACCCACTACAATAATAAAACATCACCCACTACAATAAAACAACAACTACAATAATAAAACACCACCCACTACAACTAAAACATCACCCACTACAATAAAACATCAACTACAATAATAAAACATCACCCACTACACTAAAACATCACCCTACA